TTAGCCTGCAGATATAAAGAATATGAACGCTAGCACAGTAATGTTCCCTATGCTTTACTTTTTTTCTCTTCCACGGAGCCTTTGTTCTGACCTCTCTATAAAGAAAATCCAAGGTGTTTAAAGTTTTATGCTATTCGTGCCAAAATGAATCTCTCTTTGGGTAAACATACTGAAAAGTGGAAAAGCATAGTGAGTTGAGTTCAATTCCCAGTACCAAAAAGAAAGAAAGAAAGAAAGAAAGAAAGAAAGGTTGAATTATATAAGGAAAGGAAAGCTTGTCAGAGGAGGTGAAAGTGTCTTATTTTACAACTACCCAGGACCCTATACTCTGAGGAACACAGCCATCCCATTTTAGTAAATCAGTGTGAATTCTGGAGCCTGGATAGGGGTTTCGTGGACCCCTGTGCCCTCTTTTGCTGCCTAGGCTTGCCTCCATTCCAGAGCTACATGATTCGTGATCTCTATTACACTGTCTCCTATAGTAAAGTTTTAGCGTAGTGGGAGGCATTCAGAGCCAGTTCCTGCTGCTGCTGCTGCTACACTTTTAACTTCTAGTCTCTTACTTCAAAGAATTCATAATTTCTAAGTGGGTGAGTCAGTAACCCAAATTTTCCTCTAGGGTTGTGTTGTAATCCTCAGGGACTGCACTTTGCTTGTCAGCTCAGGTCCTCAAATATTTGTCGAATGAGCACATTAAACCTTAGAACCTAAATGAGCCCTTGAAAATACCTGGTGTGGCTAGGGGCTTTAAATCCAGACCTGAGATTAAATCTTGGCTCTTCTACCTGGAAGTTTATGCCTATGGTTAAGATATTTGACCTTGTTGCACCTCAGAGTTTTATAAAACATAGTGATGATAACACCTCCCTTAAAGGTCTGTGAGGATTAAATGAGATGTTTTTAAAAAAAAAATCCCTGGAATGTGGTAGAATTGACATAATAATGAATCTGTTACAGGAAGTAATTATTGAGTGCCTGCTATACAAGAGTGAACCAAAAGTTCCTACTTGGTTGAACTTGCCCTCTGGTGTGCTTTCTAAGGGAGCAGGATCAGAAAGTGAACATTTTCCCCATGTCAGACTGAGGTAAATGTCGTGGAGAATAAGAAGGCTTATGAATGAGTGGCAGAAGGGCTTGACTAAGGAGATGACCCTGAGCAGACACCTGCTGGAATTGAGAAAGAGAGAACTCTCTTTTCCAGGGGCAGGGGATAAGAGGGAAAATAGGAGAGGAGGATCAAGTGTCAGTCTCCAGGTATCTGTAGTAACCCCAAGGAGGGTGATAGTTCAGTTAATGAACTATAATATAGTTCTGTTAATAAACTATATTATAAAATACCTTCATGATCATGCAAGTAATAAAAACCTCTAATGACCATATGGTGCTCATTTTGTGTCAGGCACTATTCTAAGCACTTTTTAATGCATTGTTAGTCATCAACACTTTCCAAAAAAGAGAGTGAAGACTTGTCACCACTTGGGATGCACCTAGGACATGTGACTGGTTCCAGGAGCACCTTTCACAGTAGGACTGTCGTCACCCAGAGGGAAATTAGATGCCTCTTTCATATATCAGCTGAAATGCAGAAGCAAACTATTACTATAAAAAGGGATGAACCCATAGGTATAGTTGGACTCAGTCTTGTTTCATGTGAGAATAATGGATAGATGTCCATGGCATTTTTAGTGTTTTTCCTGCTACTTTTCAGTCCTTCTAACATTTTTGGCCAGGGTGTTTTGGCTTTGCTTTCATTATTGGCAAATACCTGTGCACAAACATTGTAGAAGTCTAGGCTGGATGGGCCAAGTTGCCTATGTGAGTGTGTCAGCCCCTATCCCATCCTATGGCTCCCCTAATCCTGGCATGTCTTACATACTCTTTTGTTTACTGGCAAGTGAACAAAACAATAATTTTGAGGGTTTTTGAAACTTACCTGTGGCATGAATGACTCATTGAATATCTCTTAGCTTCTTATCTGAAGTTATCTATAATTTTACTTAACTTGATTGTACAGTGGAGTCATGATGTTTCCTTTTGAGACTAGAAAGAAGTGTTAGGAAATACTTCAAGGACTTAATATTCCTCTTATCCAGCATTACCTTGAGTACTCTATAAATGTGTCAGTTCTGAGAGGCATGGAGTGAATAATTGACATAATGGTCTGGAATGCTTTTGCTTGTTTGTCAGGTTGGTCACAGGTAAAATGCTAAGTCTTTTAATACCTGGACATTACAGCTTTCAAAAGAAAGGAATGGCAGGTATGTTTTCAGTTTTCAATTTTGGCATCATTGATAGTTCACCAGGATTTAGAGGAGAGAAAATACTCTATCACTTGCTTGCTTCTGTACACAAAACTCACAACACATTCATCATACAAAATCAGGGACTAAATCCTTTTAGTATTTCAGTGGTGGATAAGTAACATGTTAGCCTGTCCTTAACATCTTTTTTTTTGAAATTATTTTTAAAATTAATTTTATTGAGAAAGAAGTAGTAATGAGACAGTTTCAAAACAGGTTAGAAGGACAGTTACAATAATTAATACATTGCATATTGTTGTTTTTGTAGTAGTCATAGTACAAGATGCAGACATATCTTGCCTAAACACTATTAGTACAAATCTTTCTTCTTATTGAACTAAAAGAAAGTAGCTGTATATCCTATTTTGTATATACAGAGTATATATATAATATGTATATATATATATTTTTTTCACTACAAAATGGTCCTTCATTTCTTATTGAGAAAGAAATAGTAATGAGACAGTTTCAAAACCGGTTAGTAGGACAGTTACAATAATTAATACATTGCATATTGTCTTTGTAGTAATTATTCATAGTACAAGATGTAGACATGATAATCTTATCTAAACACTACTAGTACAAATCTTTCTTCCTATTGAACTAAGACTGATCCCCTTTTTTGTTTAATCTTGTCAGAGATGGGTATTCCATTGCCATTCAAATATTGTAGGTGCGTGAATTCACTGTCCTTAACTTCTTATGGCAAGATGTTCTGGTTGAAGATTAGGGGATGGCCCTAGTTCTGAAAGCCTTCGAAACTCAACTTCTGTTGATGTCATTTCAATTTCTGTGGCAATACAGTATCTGAGAAAGAAAATCTCAACGTGACTGTGAACACAGTAAATAGTTCCCCTCTAATTCTCTGACCTGCTGCTGGTTTCAAACTGAGCACACCACAGTCTGAAAGTCCCTGGGATCATGATTTTAGTGGCTTACCAGCTTTATTTTATTTGGAAAAAAAAAGCAAGTAATGACTGTGCTAGAAATATCTTCTTCCTCTCAAAATAGGAATTCAACAATGGTTGTTACATTACATAATGTTGTCTTCAAATTAGTTGTTTATATTACCAGATATAAGCATGCAAAGTTGGTAAAAAAAAAAAAAAGTAAGAAATTAAAAAGAAGAAAAAACGAAGTATTAACTGCTTCTTTCAGTAGACCAACAGAAATCAGTATAATTATCCAAGCTATCCTTGGATAGCTCTGCCCTTTGAATAGATTCTTTCCCTTTCAGATTTTACTTGTTCTTTCAAATTCTTACAGTAGGGAAACTATAGGATGTTTACACATGCGGGTCTGATTTATTTCATTTGTAAGTATGATGTCTAGTTGCATCCATTTACCTATAAAAGCCTCAAGTTTATCACTTTTATAGCTGAGTAGTATTCCATTGTGTGAAATACCACATATGTTTTAGCTATTCCTCAGTTGCTGGGCATTTGAGTTGTTTCCAAGATTTAGCTATGACAAACTGTGCTGTTATAAACATGGATGTGTATCATCATGGTGTGATGTTTTCAGTTCCTCTGGAAAAATACCCAGGAGGGAGATAGCTAGGTTCAATAGGATTTGTAATCCTAGTTTTCTAAGGACTCTCCACACTGATTTCCATAGTGCTTGTGCCAGTCTACACTCCTGCCAGCAGTGGAGAAGGGTTCCTTTTTCTTAGTTCACTAAAGCATGCTGATGTCAAGAGCTGGAGCGGCTCTTTGAATTTTGACGTTATATTTTAGTAAAGAATTTCTTCTTTCTAGTCATTGACATAAAGTATAAAGGACCATAAAACTTCATCGGAGTAGTATGTCTGGTTTTTTTATGATCACAAAGTGTTATCAAAAGAGGGGTTTGGAGTTAGACCTTTTTTCTCATTTTTTTATGAGTGTCCAAGTTAGAATAGTAGAAACTATGCTGTCAGCCTTGGTGGAGCAGACCTGTAATTCCAGGCCAGCTTAGGCTACATAGTGAATTCAAGGCCATCTTGAACTACATAGTGAGACCCTGTATGGAAAGCCCCAAAGGCAAAAGGTCAAGCGACTGTGCTTCACTGACAAAAGTAGACGCGTCTGTCAACTGTGTTCATCTGAAGGGTGTTTGGGGTGAGAGCCCTAAGTCTCATCTTCCTGTGGTGCTTGTTCTTGGTTGTGTTCTGTTTATATGCAGGGACTTTTAAAAAATGTGACCGTGACCGGCCAAGAGGGAGTGATTGTGTCCTGTGCAGCTGCCTAGGCGCTGCTGTGGCTGGGGATAGGCAGAGCACTAGTGCTAACAAGTGCCAGGCCGTCCTAGACCCCCACAGGGCTTCCCCACTTCTTCCTCGGGGAGTAGAGCCCGTCATCCCCAACCGACATGGGAGTCTGGATGGCCTTGGCGACGCGGCCTCGAGTGCCTGCGTCCACGCCGAGCACAGCATGCGTATGCTGGTTGCGTGGCTCCGTGTGCGCGTGTGACAGAGACTAGCGGGCGCTGGGACGGGAGAGGCCGGAGTTGGGGGCTGTGAGAGCTGGACTGAGCTAGCCGCGCACCCGCAAAAGATGATTCAGTGCAGCGTGAGCCCAAAGCGAAGGCGTCTGGGCCGCCAGGGACGCAGAGCCTGAAGCGCAGGGGGGGCGTGGCCATGTGACGTGCGCGCCCCCGCCGCCCCCGCCCCCTCTGCGCGCGCGCGCCGCCCTCTTCCGCTGTGCGTACTCCGCCCACCTTTGGCCGACCAGGCTACAGGGTAAAGGGCGGCTCGCTCCTGGCGGCGGGTGCCTTAGACGCGCACACGCTACACCGCTAGCACCGAGCGCACCCCTGCTCCGGGAGCGGAAGCTGGCCTCACCTGACGTCCAGTTTTTAATTTTTGAACTGTTGTGCCGCCGTCTTGCCGGCCTCATCAGGTAGGGGTCGGGGTCGTCTGCGCGGCTCGGAGGTCAGGGACCGGGTCCTGGGCTGGGGTCTGAGCGTCGAGGCCTCCCTCCGGTCGGATGCCTGTGGTTCCGATGCGACCTTCTGTTTCATTATTTGACAGTGGGGCCGAAGGTGTCTCAGGGTAACATTTCGAAAAGTACGCTTTTGTGCTGCAAGCAGGCCGACGCAGAAGAGGAGGTGCAGCGGCGAAGGTTCGGGCCGGGCCCCGAGCTGGCTCCAGTCCTTTAGCTCCCAGGACTGGCGCTTGGCATGGGCCGGGAGCCGGGGGTGACATCCAGGGGCGCTGTGCGTGTTCGCAGTGTACCCAGGCACCACCAAACGGTTACCCACAGCCCTGGAGAATCGTGTTCGTAATGTTGGGCGGACAGCAAGAGCGACTGAGAATCTCTGGGAGTTACTCAGTAGCAGTGCACCGGGATGCTAATTTTTAACTTCAGGGTTGGCTGGATAAGAATTTACGGGTGAGAATACACTGAAGGAAGAAGGGGCCCTCTGTAGAGAGAACCCAGGACTAGACCTTCGACTTCTTTCCAAACCCACATCTTATTCCTTAGGGCCCTTGACCATTTGAAAGGGTTCTCAAACTGTGGGCCTTCATTGTCCTCTGTCAAATGTGAATGGTGTACTAAACACAGTTAAGGTTTTTACAACTTGTAAAATATTTCTGGTGAGAAGCAGCTGCAACAGAGAGCCTTTCACACATTCTACTGCTGAGCTACAGTTTCAAACAAGTTTTCAATTTAAATTGTTATTTGTGTGGGTCTCAAAAGGGTTGTAGCTTGGGGGCCAGTGAGATAGCTCAGCGGTCTAAAGCGCCTGCTTAGGCAAGCTTAGGCAGGAGCAGGGGACTGCAGTTCGATCCTGGCATCACATACCATGCCAGCCCCATCCTCAGGGTGGGCTGAGCCAGCTCCTCCCTCCCCCCAAAAAAGGGGGGACGTTGTAGCTTTTTAGTAGTAATTTTATTTTTTTATTTTTGTGTTTGCATGAGTGCCTGCCTGTGTGTGTGCGCATGTGGGGGAGGGGGGAGGGTCTCAGTATGTAGTACAGGCTGGCCTTCAGTTCACTTAGCCCAGGCTGGCCTCAAATTCATGGCAATCCTGGCTCAGCCTTCCAGGTGGTGGGGCTTTTTAGTAGTGTTGTGGTTTGAGGGATAATGCTTTAACTTCAGTTGTGGTTAGTTGCTCATTTCCATCTCTAAGATCTTTGGGCTTCATAACTGGGATTGTGCAAAGCATTGTCCAAGTATGGCTGTGTGGTACCCTCCTTTAAAGAAACACCAAGTCGTGTTACTGCTTGAGGGATGTATGCAATTCTTATTTAACAACAGCTACCCCTGAAAGACTGCAGTGAGAGAAATGTGAGAGAGAGAGGCTCTGCCTCCCTGTAACACACTAGCCCCTGCACACCTCCTACTCTTTCTTTTTTTTTTTTATTTTTTATTTATTTTTATTTATTACATTTATTTATTGTGTGTGTGTGTGGCCAGCTCAGCCCATCAGGGGGCGGGGCTGGCTGGCATGTGGTGCTGGGGATCGAACCGCTGTCCCTGTGCTTTGCCAAGTTTGTTTCACGTAGGTGCTTTAGACCACTGAGCCATCTCTCCAGCCCCACCTCCTACTCTTGACAGTACAGGTATTCTTGGTATTAGGTTTAGCTGAGGGCAGGGACCTCTGCAAGCTCTCCCTTTTTCTCCCTCTCCTGTACATTTTCTCATACTTTGAAACTTAGGACAGATCTCATAGAAAAAGAGAACTTTTAGAAAGCAATGACCTTTATCTCAAAAAGTTAACATTTAAGATAGATCTCATGAGATGCTACGGCTGTAGTTTGGATTATGAAGCTGAAGATAAGGCATTTTTAGAAACTTACTTAAATTTTAGAATCAGAGCTAATTTGGTCTATTGTTTGTGTAGGTGAGAAACAGGCAAATTTAGTCCATTGTTTGTGTAGGTGAGAAACAGGCAAATTTAGTCCATTGTTTGTGTAGGTGAGAAACAGGCAAATTGTGCATATTTAGTGTATATCAGAGGGTTTAGAGTCCAGTGGTGGTGAACCTGTGGCACTGGTGCTGCACCAAGCTGTTTGTGTATTGAGAGTTCTAAAGTGTTCTCCATCACTGGTTTAGACTGTTGAGTTTTAACCTTAGAAATGATTTGCCCTTTGCTGTGTTGCATGGTGATCCAGGTGGGGCACTATCATTTATTCAGCATGCACCACCTTCTCTCTGGAGTCTGACTGTAGCAAGTTAAGCTCAAAAAGGGCAAATAGACACCCAAGGTCAGAGTACTGAGAAGCGGCCGAAGGATTCTTCAGGACCTTATCAGCTGAAAGCCCTCACCTGTTTGGTTGCTGCCTTTTATTTATCTTTTAGATGTGGAGCTTGCTGAGGTCCCTGCCCTCAGCTAAACCTAATACCAAGAATACCTGTACTGTCAAGAGTAGGAGGTGTGCAGGGGCTAGTGTGTTACAGGGAGGCAGAGCCTCTCTCTCACATTTCTCTCATTGCAGTCTTGCAGGGGTAGCTGTTGTTAAATAAGAATTGCATAAGATCATGATTTTGAACTACAGCTGCTGCCTTTGATGAGGCTGAAAACAAAAATGGAGGCACTGACACTAATGTTGCTCTTCAGCAAGCTGAAATTATCTGAGGAGCATAGAAAAGAACTCAGAATTAGAACAGTCACAGTTCCCTAAGGCCAATTTTAATTGGCTTAATAATGAAGTTCCCTAGGCTATAATCCTTACACAGAAATACTTGAAATAACCTGATAACTGATTGATCTTTTTTTCACTGTTCCCTCCTGACAAGGAACAAAACTTTTTTTTTTTTCCTCTGTATTTAGGACAGGGTCTACAGGGTCTCACTACATAGATCGGGCCTGTAGAGATTCTCCAGTTTTCAGCCTTCCAAGCTCTGGGATTACAGGCCCAGTGTCAATTGCCTCTCAGTGCTCCCCATGGGCAGGGCCAACACAGCAAGCAGGGAATTGAATCCCAGACACTGTGCTCTGCCTAAGCAGGCGCTTTAGTCCACTGAGCTATCAGACCAGCCCTAAGGAACAAAATTTTGAAATGGTCCACTTTGCTTTTTTGTATATTTCTGCTTTCCTTAGCCTTTTTCTGTCTGTAAAACTAAGTTCTTTTGCTCAGCCCATCAGAATATTCTGTTTTATAAAACAGTGTTGCCTACTTCTAGAAAATGAAGCTAGTTGAGATCTTTAAAGTATTGTAATTGTGTCCTTTGACACTGCTATCATTGCATCCGTCTTTCCAGAGGAAGGTGAAGTCTGTAGTTAAGTTCCTAGTTCAGGATCTCAAGTGTGCAAATATAGCCGTATATCAGTTCTTTCAGGCTCCAGAGTAGATTGCATCCTTCATAGCACACTGACTCTACCTGAAACAGTATAGTATTGTGTGAGCAACCTGGTTACCTCACGCAAGTCTTTTTGTTTAAAAGCCTGTGCAGCAGCTGCCTGAGTGATCTGTTGATTTCAGACCTGAAGCCTCCCTCCCCAAAGTGCTATTGGGCAAACATTTGCATAGCTTCTTCCTCAGGATCATGAATATGGCAGCTGACTGCCCTCTGACTGCTCCACAGGGAGGAAGAGGAGGAGCCAAATCCACACCAGACTGGCCACGAAGACAGTTTATCTTAGTGGATGGCAAGTGGACTCTAAAGACTTCCTCCAACATGGCAATTGTTTTGAAAGATAACACATTTTAATTTGAAAAATGCAATAAATGTGAGGGAAATCAGTTTTGTATCTTTATGATCTCATCCTGTGTCCTGCCCCTAGCTGCTAAGGGTAAAGAAACATCTGTTCTGCCTTTGTCCTACTGTTGAAGGCAGCTGTGTGGTGCTTGTGATTGAATTAGGAAGACTTGTTTAAGGTTCTAGTGGCTTAGTCCACACTGTATGACCTTGAGTTTGTCTCCCATCTGTTCAGGGGTTTTTGACATTGTGAAGTAATGTTCAAATTTGATTAAATTTTACATGATGGTGGGCTTTGGCATTCTTCACATGGGATGAGGGCCTAAGAGTGGGACATGGGCAGGCACGAACTGAAAGATGACTAAGCAAGCCTGCCTTGCCTGGCTGATTTGAGTGTGATGTGGAGTAACTGTAGTAAGGAGGTGACCTTTGGTCTTCACAGTTCTTTTTCCCATGTGGTCAGGTGCTTTTCAAAGACCCTCTGATGGGTACTTAGCACCTAGTGTTGTTTATAGTTCCAAAAGGGATCAGCGAGTGACTTCAGCTGATACTTTCAGGATTAAGGAAATCTCCCCAGAGGCTCAAATCCACTTTCTGGAGCCCTTCTTGTTATGGGTCTTGTGGAGAAACAGACGGAGGTAAAGGAACTCAAAAAGGGAAGTTGGAAAGTTTCTCAACTCAGAGTTTCTTGTAGGAACTCTACAGTTCTGTATCTGAATCTTTGACCAGCTGGTGGAAGGAAAGCCCGCAAGGCTTTGTCTTCCAAGAACCCCTCTCTGCAGGTGGGACCCACACCACCTTTCCTGTAAGCCCTTTCCACTACATGTGTCAAAGCCAGCCCCAGTTTCCTTCTTGGCAAGTATGCAGCCAGCCTTTTGAAGAGTCTCTTGCAGTACAGAGCTGGCTTCTCTGCAGTCATTGCCTTAAGACTGTTACAAAGTATTTTATTATTGCCAGAATGTCTCCTGTAACCCATTCACCCTTTGGCCTAAATCATTTATTCTGTAGGTACTTGAAAGTGGTAATCATATCCTCCCAGAGACTCTTATCTAGGTCAAGCAACCTTCCTTCTTGGGAAAGTGTCTCGTGTTTTGGGGACCTGTTCGCCTTTTCCAAATGCTTCCTTTTAAAGTGTGTTACCCAGAAATAAATTTCAAATTTAATCCAGTAATAGTGGAATAAATTAGTTCTGTGTCAAGCTCAATACCATGGGTGCACTTGGGGGGCCTGAGGCACAAAGATTTTTTCTGTGAGTTCAAGGCCAGCCTGGGCTTAAAACACAAATATTATGCAGGGTGTGGTGGCATCCACCTATAAATCCTAACTATGGGGTCTGAAGCAGGAGGATCACAAGTCTGTGGCCAGCCTTAGCAATTTAGTGAGGTCTTGTCTCAAAATAGGAAACAAAAAGAGCTGCTGAAGATACAACTTAACACTCCTGAGGTTCAATCCTTTTAAAAAATGACTCCTCTATGATGTACCAGCAATGTAGAGTTGTTTTGGAATCTTTGTCCCATGCTCATGTTTTCTCTGACTTTAACAGCTCATCCAGATAAGCAGAGAAAACAGTCGAGCAGTTAGGCAAGACAGAAATGAAGCTCAGAAAACCTGACACCTAGGACCCTGTGCACACACTAGGCTGCAGTGATCAGTGTTTCCTTTTTCTGAGTGTTTAGAAACGGTCTCCTGATTGTCGACCCTTCCTGATTGTCGACCCTTCCATCTGTCTTAAAACATCATTTGTGCTTTCCATTCCTGTTTCTTGTCTCTCCTAACCCCCAGCTTATTAGAGAGCCCTTAGTATTTGCCACACCAGCTTCTCTAATTACCTTTTTTATATCCAGATATTTTGAAAATATTGCTATTTTTTGTGGTGCTGGGGGTTGAACCCAAGGCTTTATCCATGTTAGGCAAGTGCTCCACTGCAGAGCTATGTGTCCCAGGCCCTTTTTTTTATTTTGAGATAAGGTCTTGTTAAGTTTCCCAGGCTGGCTTCAAACTTGGAATCTTCCTGTCTCAGCCTCCTAAGTAGCCATATGAAATTTATCAGATTTATCTTCTTAAAAAGAAAATGTCTAGCTGTAGAGTCATTCTTAAATTGTTCCTAAATTAATTAAATCCATATACATTTAGGTGAATGCTAGTTCTAAACTGTATTCTAAATTCTCAAATTATTGGTTATCAGTGTAGCTTCAAAATAACTATGGATGCTGCCATACATTTTAGCTTTAAGTCTGCTGAGGAACATTCGTGTGTTTTAAGTAGAAACCTGTGTTTATGATGATTGTGCTTAGGACCTCATACATGTTCAGGTGGTGTTTTTGCTGCTCAGCTACATCTGCAGCCTAGGGACTTAATGTGCTGATTAGTGTTCTTTTTAACCTTTTGGAAAATATGTCTAGTTGATTCGAGACTATTAGGTTTTATTTCATCACAAGGAAATGTCACTAAAGTAGACTTAGGATATTTTTTGTAGCAGAGGGAGAGAGAAGAGGTAGGGTGGCTTACATATCCTTCTGGGTCTTGTGTTAGAGGAATCTACGTATTGGGAACTGGTTGCAAGGAGCATTTGATGATTAAAATGTAGGTTTTGGTTGTAATGATAGTACTAACTGCAATCTTTTCTCTTTATGCTTTTAAAGGAACAGTGAGCAAAATGAACACCACCCAAGATCAGAGCAGCTGCACCAGTATCAGAGAACCCCTGCTGAGGTGTAGCGATGCACGGAGGGACTTAGAGCTTGCTATCAGTGGAGTTCTCCGGGCTGAACAGCAAATCAAAGACAACTTGCGAGAGGTGGGATATACATTCTTTCTTTGGACTCTGAATAAAGCTAGTCCTGAAAGTTTCAGTGCCAGCCAGAAAGTCTCACTCTGTGCCATTTGTTTTCTACTTAATCCTAGTTACCTGTCTGGAGTGTTGGTTCTAGGGGAAAATAAGCCAGGTGTGATGAAGCCTGGAAAACACTTTGCCACTCCAGAGACCTACATTCAGTGTGTATCTTGATTGGTCCTCTGCCTCGCCCATGTGGTGGGCACTGTCATTACTGAAAGATATCAGAGGGTATGAGCAGTCTCCTGCTCAGCTACATCCACTGGATGTCTGAGCAGTGGTCCTTCACTCTGCTCCTGCCTTTGCTGGGTTTTTCAATGTGCGAGCCAGAATAAAATAGGTTTATTACAGTAGTAGTCTGTTAGTGAATGTGTCAAGTGGTAGTGCTTGACTTTGTTGTACAGAAAAAATGTTCTTTTATTTTTTGAGATGGGTGTCACTATGTAGTTCAGGCTGTTGGTCAGTTGAATTCTCAGGCATGTCGTATGGCTATTTTGATTTTTTTTTCCCCCCTTTGGATTTTTGTATTTATCCTTTATGTGATTCACTGTTTACATTCCCAGAAACATTTAGTTTAGTCTGTCTACCCTAACAGAGTTCTAGCTGTCGACGTCCTTAACAAGTCAGCCTACTACAAATGGATATCTCATGGTCAGCTATTATGTTAATCCTATTTTTCCCATGATGACCTTGCAAAACCATATATTCTGAATTTGTTTGGAAAACTGAGGGGTGCCATATCTTTCAGCATATCTTTGTTTTTTTGGTGGGCTTTTGGGTTCTGGGTTTTATTTTTTTAGTTAGGTTAGTGTGCCTAGATTAACCTGATTTTCTCAGGAGGAGTGTGGAAGGTGGACTTTAGAGATTAAGTATACCTCTATGGCTGAGAGTCTTAAACTGAATTCTTAAACAAGGCTCTGAAAGTCTGTGAGTGGGCTTTTGGACTTAAACTCTGAAATTATAGGCAAAATTTACAGCATATACATTTTCCTGGCAAGACACTCCGTAAATGTCATGTAATCAGAAGGATTTCTGACAGATACTTAAGAACATTGCCATTTTACGTCATTTTTGAGTGAAAGCACAGGTGAAGCTAACACGTGTGTCCACCAGGTGAAAGCCCAGATTCACAGCTGCATAAGCCGTCACCTGGAATGCCTCCGGAGCCGCGAGGTGTGGCTCTATGAGCAAGTGGACCTCATCCATCAGCTGAAAGAGGAGACACTGCAGCAGCAGGCGCAGCAGCTGTACTGGGTAAGAAGACTGTGTGTCCAGACTTGGTTCAAATATGACATTCCCCAGAGAATATTTTACCAGTAATGCAGCATTAATTTAAGTCCCATAAAAATTTAGTTTCAAATGCTTTTTTTTAAGTTGGGCATACCTGGTGCTTTTAATGTCATTATAAACTACCTGGTTTCATTTTCTTTAGCTCTTGGGCCAGTTCAATTGTCTTATTCATCAACTGGAGTGCACCCAAAGCAAAGATCTAGCCAATCAAATCTCTGTGTGCCTTGAGAGGTAAAGATCCTTTTTGCTAGTTTTGACTTTTTGCCTTTGGCATAATGAAAGAAAGTCAGTTTTGTAACTTACTGCATGTACTAGGATTTAACTTCATGGTAAGATTATCTTGCTTTATATATTTACAATTGCTGCTAAATCATTAAGCCATCTACTTTTGGTTGAGTTTTTAGAAAAGTGCAGTAATTTGAACTGTTGCAGTTTCGTTGCAAATAGAATCCTAGGAGGAATTAAGTTAGTGAACCCAGGTGCCACTGTAACTCAACCTGGCTTTTGTTTTAGAAGCAGCTACCATAGTCTTTGAAAACAGATACATTGTTTTGTTTCCCTAGACTGGGAAGTTTGACCCTTAAGCCTGAAGATTCTACTGTCCTACTCTTTGAAGCTGACACAACTGCTCTGCGCCAGACCATCACCACATTTGGGTCCCTTAAGACAATTGTAAGTAATGCAGATCTCAGGCGCTTCCTTGTGCACTCACCCTTGTTAGGGCCTCATCGCGGCTCTTATTACTGTGAATTGTGGCTTTCTCGAGGCATGAGCTTGAGGAGCTTCCTGTTTTGATTGGTGTTATAATTATATGGTAGGGAACTCTCAGATATAACAATTTCTTTGTAGAGCTTTGAATTTATTGTAAGTATTCCAGGGAAATAGTAATGCTTTACTTTATACCTCTGAAGTTTAGTTTCGCTTTTTTTTGGTAGGAAGGCTTAGCATGAGTAACACTGAAATTGTCTTTATTTTATAGCAAATCCCTGAGCACTTGATGGCTCATGCTAGTTCAGCAAGCCTTGGGCCCTTCCTAGAGAAAAGAAGTCACATTCCAATGCCAGAGCAGGTGAGAAATGCCATTTTGTTTCTGGTAACTGAGGTATTTCTTGAGTTATATTTTTTAAGAGTTTTGACCAAATAACTTTTCCTGCTATTTGGGAAAAGCCTGTGCTAATTGAATTCTTTTTTTGCATTATTGAATGTCAAATTGTTTTGCCTTTAAAAAAGAGAAAGCAATTATTAATTAGTTCATAGTAGGGCCAGCCAAATAGTTCAGAGGATTAAAGCACCTACAAGCAGGTGCCAGGGCCAGGGATTTGATCCCAGGCCTGCTATGCCAGCCCCGCCCTTGGGGCACACTGAGATGGCCATTGAGACTGGGTGTGGTGGCATGCACCTGTAATCCCAGCTCTTGGGAGGCTGTAAACAGGCAGATCACTACGAGTCCGATCTAGTAGTGAGACCCTGAACACCCTATAGACCCTTCCCTAAAATAAAATTAAAAAATTTTTTAAAAAATTAGTTCAGGGGCTGGAGAGATGGCTCAGTGGTCTAAAGCACCTACTTAGAACAAGCTTGGCAAGGCATCAGGGACCGCGGTTCAATCCCCCAGCACCACATGCCAGCCAGCCCCGCCCCCTGGTGGGCTGAGCTGGCCACACACACACCTCTCTCTCTCTCTCTCTCTCTCTCTCTCTCTCTCAAATAAAAAAAAAAAATTCATAGTAGATTATCATTAGTTGTCACTGGTTTAGGTTCTGTTTTAGGGATTCTTTCTAATTCATAGAGGTGACTTGTTTGTAAAGGCACATCCAAGACATTTGAGATAAACCTAGAGAGCTGCTGTGTTTATTTTAGAACTGGAAATTGAGGTTTGGGGAGGACCAACACCTTCCTCAGGGCAGGAGACCACCCATGGCAGAGAGCTCAGGTGAACTTCCTTCTGCCCTTGATCATGCCTTGTTAAACAGCAGAGTTTTCTGTATGAGCAGCAGAAGTTGGTGCCCAGCAGCACAGCTGTACCTCTCAGTGAGTGGCTGCTTGGAAGCAAACCTGCCAGCAGTCGCCAAGCTCCTTTCATGCCCAGCACCAACCCCCAGGACTGGCTGAGCCACAAGTGGAGCTTGGAGAACAGCCAGGTATGTTGCCACCCTCATGGATTCTGAGTTCTGTGTAGTAGTCAGTGGAGTTGATGACTAACTAGTAGTTTGTCTTTACTTTTTGATAATCTAGAAATGTGTTTTTTCATTGGTCATGGAAACATAATTTTTTAACATCTTTTTACTATGGAAAGTTTTAAAAATAGGTTTTTTTCCTGAAATATAACATGAATATGTTTCACTAATTTCTGTAAAATCAACTGTATCTAATTCATCAATTGGCCAGAATTTATATTCTCATTTTTCTGCATATAAGTGAAGTTGTGCTAAACATTTAAGATTACTTGTGCAATTCTTAATCTGTTTTTTCCATTCTTAGAGGACACTTCTGCCTACCCTTTAAAACTTGTGATACATGTTTCCAGGAAGTTGGGAACAGTTGATATTCCCACCAGCAGATTTGCTGCCTTCACTTCATGAACCCTTTTTGATCAAAATGCCAGTTATTTACTTTTTATATTCTTCAGGTTTTTAAAACTACAGAAAGTCACATACATATCTTAATTACATAAACAGAAATCCCTTGCCTCTTGCTTTACACTTACATTTAGAAATACTGGGCTAGACAGTAAATACAGACAGAAGCCCCAAGCACCCATTATTCTGGCAAACTAATGTTGTGTATTTCCCACTAGACATCTGCTAGAGCCTACGGTGTCTTCAATGATGTGTGGGGCAACCTAAAGGGCTTGGAAAACTGGCTGCTTAAGAGTCATCAACAAGAAGTTCCTGGAAGATCAAGTTCCCCAAAATGTAAGAGTCATTCTACCAGCAGTTCCCTCTCCATTGAAGTTGAGAAGACTTGCAATCTAGAGAGCCTTGATCAAGATGACATGGGGCTGTCTGATTGGCTGGTGACTCCCCAGGAGCCCTGTAAGCTAGAGAAACCTGAGAATGGCAGCCATGAAGCCAGTGAGATCAAGCACCTGTTCTCAGTGTTCCAGGAGCCCTACAGCGTGAGTGATTGGCTTGCCCAGCCTGCCTCCTGTACCAACTGTCAGGGCAACCAGCCCAAAGGTGTAGAAATTGAAAACCTGGGCAATCTGAAGTGCCTGAATGACCACTTGGAAGCCAAGAAACCACTGTCACTGTCCTCTCCTAGCATGATTACTGAAGATTGGCTTATCCAGAACCATCAGGAACCATACAAAGTTGAGGAAGTATGCAAAGCTAACGAACCCTGCACAAGTTTTGCAGAATGTGTGTGTGATGAGAACTGTGAGAAGGAAGCTCTGTGCCGATGGCTTCTGAAGAAAGAAGGAAAGGATAAAAATGGGATGTCTTTGGAAGCCAAATCTGAGGTTGAGAATCACAAAGAGTTCCTCGATACATGGCTCTGTCCTTCTAGAAAAGATATAACAGAACAAGCTAAGGCATCAAAGTCATTCAGTCCCTCCAGAATTGCGGATTCCTTCCAGGCCCTCAGAAACAGTTCCTTGTCAGAGTGGCTCATCAAATCCTCATGCAAAGAAGGGAGCCCCAAGATAGTGCCAAGTACTGAGGACAGGGCAGGCAAACAAAAGCTTAAAAACCCCATGACCACTTCCTGGTGCTCCTTTAACACTGCTGACTGGGTCTTGCCTGGGAAGAAGGTGGGAAGCCTCAGCCAGTCCTCTGGAGACAAGTGGCTCCTTCGAAAGAAAGCCCAGGTAAGCAGACATCCACAATTGCCCAGTTTTGAGTTTTACATTCTAAATCCCAAACCTTGCAGTAGGCCCAGATCCTGAAACATGTTAGATTTTACATTTGGTTCAAGTATCAATTTTGGTGCCATCTTAGGCAACAGGAGGATTTATAATTATTCAAGTTGAATTACTTGTGTGCATCCCTAGTCCCAAAGCCCCATCCTACAGGAAAAAAAAAAAAAAAAAAAAAATCCAGCTTGTTTTATTGCTACTTACAAAAAAGACTCGGTAGCAATAGCAGTTGACACCTCTGTTCTTGGTTATTAGAAATGGCAAATGTTTACATTATTCTTTATAGATATTATCTGAAGTTAAGTCAGTGTTGTACCAGCTGGTTGTAATGAAGCAATCTACCTTTTTTTGCAGGAAGTATTTCTTAATTCACCCCTACAAGAGGAACATAACTTTCCTGCAGACCGTTATGGCCTCCCAGCTGTTTGTGATCTCTTTGCTTGTATGCAGCTTAAAGTTGATAAAGAAAAGTGGTTGTATCGAACTCCTTTACAGGTGGGTACCTGCTAGAAGTGCAAATGCTAGAGCTGTCCTTATATACAAATTCACATATCCACTGAGCTATACTCCTGTTAGCTGTGATGGGGAGGGAGTATAAGCTCCAAAAAAAATACTGTGTATTTGAACTTGCTCTGTAACCAGGCATACTGGGAGCGACCTTCCAAGATGTAATGAACTTTCATCACAAGTTTTTGTATCCTTGTGAATTCTAGTAGTTTCATTGAGAAATAAGTCAGTTTGAAGGTAAAAGGAATTTGCTTTTCTTCCTGGTAAGGTGATTTCTCATCTTTGGGCTTGTGCTTCTTTACAGATGTGAAGAACCAAAAAACAGACTCCAACTCCAGAGCTTGTTTGCAGATGTCTCACATCCATGAGCTGTGGCTGCCTCACATTGTGTTCCTAGATCTGACCAGTCAGCTTAGTTCCTTTCCTACCTAAGTTTGAACTAGCCAAGTAATCTCATCGAATTACAGGCCACTTTGTTACAGAAAGAGGCTATTTGTTGATGCCAAGGTAATTCAGTTCTCCTTGTGGAAGTATGAATTCCCACATGCATGAGAAAGGTGGTGTCATGGCTCCTGAGATTGGGTGTATAAACTCATAAATACCATCGTTGCCAAAGTAAACTACCTGTGTTTGACATCCTTCAAGCTAGTGAACTCCTAAGACCTTGTATTACCTTTTACATGCTTCTCTTGCTGAGATTTTTTTCTTGGGCTTAGTGATGTGAAATGATTGTTGTTTAGTTAATATACAGCCCATTGCACACAAAAATGAGCCCTGCCAATATGGTCTTATTTTTTTCCTTAACAAAATGTGTATTAGTAATTTTGGCTATGTTGACATTAATTATCAAACATTTTAGCCAACACAAACATTTTTTTTTTTTAATTTGGAAGAAATTTAGGAACTGCAAATTTTGCCTTTATTCCTTTCTGTTGCTAAATGAGGGAGGCCATTGGAGGACGCTACTAGTAAAGGAACATTTTCATGTTTGTCCCAGCCTGTTTTCTAATATTCTACACATGTACAGGCTCTAAGGAGTCCCAGCTGGATATGTAGTACTTGAACTATTTGCCACTTTAGGGATTTCTGGTGCATCCTGTGTAAATGAAACCTGAGCTTAACACCTGGTGCTTTTGACTAGGGGTGGTCAATGTCCTATCCATACAAACACAGCATTTCCGTACCTCCAAAAGTACAATGCAGTGGCATTTTACTGGACAGGTGGTTTCAACATTTGTGCCTTGGGGTGCATACTGAAGTTTTATGATGAAACCATCAGTTTTCTCAATATCCTTAAATTCATGTTAAAACATTTTCTGTAGGAGATAAGAGTTCTTTCACAATTCTGAGATCTTTCAAAACTACTAAGCCTTTTAACTGCCTGTGTTACTGGAAATAAACTTAAGAGGGGAAACATCAGTCTCACAGTGACACTGTACAGCTACTCCACAATCCTTTGAACCTTCACAGCTGAAAAGAGCCTCTCATTTTGTAATCCTCCCAAATATCACTTGAGAATTAAAATAAAGGTGATGGGTAAAAACAACTTACAGAACCTTATATTCTTTGTTGCAGGAAACTCATTTCATTTTTGAGATCTAGCACACCATCAAAACGTAATTTACATTAATCACTATGGTAATTAGTATGTGAAATATTCTTATGCATTGATGCATTTTATACTTCCATTAAAAGCATAACAGCCACACAACAGTTGTTATGTGTGTATTTGTACAAGTAGGTTTTTAAAAGTTATGTAACTGGGACACACTTGGTTAGAAATTTTAAACATATGGTACATTTACTATAATTAGCCAAGAATAGGTATACTACTGTTTCCATTTTTAGCTTTTGCCTGAAAAGTCCATGTCTGCTTTTAAGCTAGACTGACTGACCAGCTGGAGCTCAGTGCTTTGCCACAGGTTTCCTTTTATTGTCTCCAAGAAAGCCCCAGTTTACTTTCCTAATCACATACAGTGGTGGTTTATATTAAGTATATGTGTAACCTGCAGTGCTATTATGTTTGACTGATTTTATTTTAGGAATCAAAACACAGATGCAGAGTATTTTGCCCTCATTTCCTTTAGCTTTCCCAATGTTTCCTGGGAAATGTCTAATCCTAACCAGTCCCAACAAAGAGGTTACTGCCCACAGAATGAGAATGGGGTGAGGTCCTGGGCATTTCTGATACACTACCCTTAAGTTGAAGTTAGAGTAACTTGAAGTTCCCTCAGGTGTTTTTTGCAAGCTCCATAGGGAAAAATCCTACCACCACCCACAGCTGTTCATTTTATTTAAAAAAAAAAAAAAAAAGCCTAGAGTAACTGTTTTCAAATTGAGACACCAATGTACATTTACAATGGAGATGGGACTCTGGTTCTTATTTTCACCCTTTATTTAGAGTACAGGGCAATATTACAGTTTCAGGTCATTAATAAATCTCATGACTGACAATAAGCATGACCTGAACTCTCGGAGTAAGTGGCTTTCCAGTTCAGGAGTAGGAGAGAGAATGGGTAGATCCGAGATCATCTCCCACCTTACTCAGTAAGCTACCAAAGGGTTTTGGCTTCAGCTTATTGAGGGCAAGAA